CATTCCATACATATACCACATATGTCTGTTTTTGAATACCCATGTTAGGACAAGAGAAATCTAGGTGATACAGAGCTTAACTCTTATTAACCAGAAGGAAGCATAAACTCACAACTTTTTCAGCTTTATTTTAACTCAGATCACAATTTGGTTGGTCACTTACTAAAATAACTACAACATCATGAAAAGAACAATACTCTCAAGTATGGGATAACCCCATTCCTTTCATTCTGACATTCTCAGGAAATAACAGATTGGACCTAGGGTTTCCAGGTGAAAAGTGATCACCTTTGAAGGTTTTCAGAGCATGTGAAATTTGTCTAAAAAGAAAAATCTCTGGCTCACTCTATTAACAATATGGGGAAACTGAAATACAGCCTACTCAATCATCAAATTTACAGAGTGAGCATCTAATGTTTGCAAACACTGCAGGAAGAGAAAAGAAGGGGGGAAAGGCTCTTGCTTTATGGTGGAATTTTTAAAACTGAATGAGAGGGGCAAGACAAACACCCAGCAGAGCTAAGCAGAGACACATGAAGGACCGGGAAAGGTGAGTAGGAGATGGGAGGCAGCAGATAGGCGCAGACCGCAGAGGAGAGCCAGAGGGGAGGACGGGTGGGAGGATAATGTTTTGAAGGAGAGAGAATTTGATTTGTTGCCAAAATGACAAATGTTGTCACCCTGAGAACATACAGTAAATAAAACTGAAGTCGACAGCAAAAATTGGGATCACTGATTAAAAGAGCATATTATGGGGGTAACATAATATTGATACTCAAAACTGCTGACAACTTTCATTTGGTGTGACAGAAAACTTACTGTCCTTAGGAGTCTAATTTAAAGAGAATGAACTGGCCCAACGATGCCCGAGTAAGAGGGCGCCTGCTGCTGTGGTCCCTCGTCCAGAGAAGTGGGAGCAACAGGGAGATGCCAGTAACATACCTGGCCTTTCTCCTGCCACCGCTGTGTGCTGTCTAGGGCAGGGGCTGCCTCCAAAGACAGGTGGTGTTAAAGAGACCGCAAAGGACGGGTAAGTCCCAAGACTGAGCCCCAAAGAAATGAGAGCTGACTACATATTAAAGGTACAACTCTGGTTCATAAAAAAGTTTATTACAAGACTTCATATAGAGAATAGGAGTTTGGATCTTTTTCAAGTCCATCTGCTTTTTTCCTCCTTTCATCAGGATTGATTTCTAAATTAAGAAACTATATTAGTAAAATACAAATGTTTTCAGAAGGAAGAAGGGCAGTGGGAGCCATGAAATTTGTATAAAGGAATATAGCTCCCTCTACATGTTAATACTTTGGACAGGAACACAATTAGGGGAGAACATTTATTTTTCTTTTTTCCCAAAAGAACTGTTTTCATAGTATGTTCACTTTTCTAAGAGGCATCGGCAGGTCATAAATTTTGGTTTGCCATGGGCAAACCACTTGGTCCCAACGTAAAATATGACAAGTAATTTGGCATAAACAAGGTACATGGGAACATTCAGTGGACTAAGAAATAACTACTAATAATGCAACTACAAATAGCAATGTCTTATTACACAAACAGGAAGAGTAGCCAGTATTTTTAGAGGGCACTGGTGAGCAGTCAAAAAGCTTGGGAAATTACCTAGAACTTTTTAAACGTTTTAAGTGATTGAATATTCACATCAAATAGAAGTCCACCCAATAAAGATCTTTGTTTTGAAATGTTTTCACTAGAAGCATGAAATTAACATTTGCTCTCCCATAGGTACCTCACTGTTGTCCATACAGAAGAGGTACGTGCCTATCTTATACATGTGCACATACAAACACACACCCGCAAGGGAAGAAAATCTAATAATCTAAAAGTACTCCAGGCGATCACAACTGTCAGAATGTTAATCTTCTTCTAATGGCGGGTAGGAAACGCGGAGGGGGGGGGGGTTGTTTTACTTTTCAATCTTAGGGTAAAGTGAATATGAGGCAGGACTACAGGAGGAGATGAGGAGTGTTTACCATGCAACACAGATACAACAGTAATAAAACCGCCCGTTCAGGGCTGGCCTGTTGGCCTGACAGTGACGCACATTATGTCGCCATGCAGGAGACTCATAGTTCAAATCTCAATCTTGGTTTTTCATGCCCCAGATCAGAAAAGAAGCGAAGAAACACTGTAGATTGTGCCTTCAAATCCGAGGAAGGGAATACATATGTTACAACCATCGCTATTTCTGCTGAAAAGTGTGAACATAGTTCTTTGAGAATAAGTCTGGCTCCTTTCTGAAGTGATGCTACTGTGTCACTGGACCATGTTCAAAGAGGAGAAAAAGCCTACACCTCGTACGGCAGAAGCAAACAACAGGAGGACAAGACAGCATGTAAAGAGTCATGTGAAAAAAAGGAAGAAAACATCCATCAGCAAAATTACCCTCGGTCTGGAAAGGGTCTGGTACACTGCATGTTGAGGGGATAACATGTGAGTGGCAACCCCCAAGAATGAAGACCATGATCCTCAGCATATCACACCCCACACAGGCAGCCGACAAGATGTTCCTCAATGAATTTCTAGTCTGTACTTAATATTATGCCCCTGACCCAGAAGTGGCAGACACTACTGTGGTTAACACCATAACGGCCAAAGTGGCTGTGCCAAAGTTTGCTAAGGTTTGATGGAAGCCTCTGTTTTCATTGATAGCTCTGGGTAACCAGGGTTGTACCAGGAAATTCTCACCTTGAACCAATTTAAGTTGGTGACCTAGAGTTAAGAGGCCCCAGGATCTGGAAGGCATCATTCTTGGAAGTTGCCCACTCTACTTTTGCCCTTAATTGAATAAAAATAACAACAAAAAACTGGATATCAATTGGGCACACAACACAGATCATAATTCATTTATTAATTAAATTTTAAAATGCTTTGAATAAAAACTTAACGGTAACAATCATTTAAAGGTCAATTATTTACTTTCTCCCATAGATGGAAACCAGTTACTTTTCTTGTTTTCTTCTCCAGGACAATGAATCAAGGCCATGGTGCTTAAACACAAGTGTATTTCTTTCATGTCATACTACTCTCCAAATCAGAGTCCACCACTCCACTTCAGTTACTCTGGAAAATTGAAAAATGAATATATAATTGCTATGCATGTCTATTTTCTATGCCTTAACAAGTTGATGTATTTTAAAAATTGAAAATTGTTTCAGATATATGGTATCTAAAAATAAAGAAAAATTATTTAATCTTAGATTTGCAAAGGTCACAGACATAAACCAGACAATCCATTAGCCTTTTTAGCTGCAGTAAGCAAAAGGCTGATGCCAAATGGAAATGTAAATCAACAAAATCTGATAATCTCTGTTTGCTGGGTTAGCTGAGAACAAGTCAAGAGATGTTGATTTTTCCAAAGCAAAAGACATTGATCCTAGAATAATAAGCTATCACTTTCATTTTAGATTGAAACCATTCATTTAATGTAAGAAAATTAAATATGTGATCAGGCGTTAAGTGAAAGAGGAAATGGGACTTTGGTCCCAAGAGGGCATCTGGTACCTCACTCACCAAAAAGGCAGACACACCACGGGCATTGTGACCTGTCAGTAGGAAGAGCCCACCACACAGACATTTGGAAAAACCCAACAAATTCTGAACAGCTAAAATGAGCAAAATTAAGGGAATTTCAAAGCTTGCTATAGTTTTCATGTGCTGTGAAAATACAAAATCTGCTGTCTATACAATGGTGCCCAAACATCATATCTTAAGGGAAATTAATTAAGGAAGAGGCACTCAAGGCTCTTCTACTGGTTTTCTGAAAATGGGGAAGTTTAGTTTCTTCATACAACTACAGAAGAATGACACCACAGTAGGAAAAGGAGAAAAACAGTGAAATTAAAAAAAAAAACAAACACAAAACCCAACAACAGAACACAAGACTGCAAACACGGACAAACCATGCCACACTTTCAGGTATCAGTTTTTTTTTAAATATCATTTAATGTTCTCCCTCTAATCCTGTTTTTTTAGGAGTGCAGTGGTTAGCAGAGCATGCATTCTTTGTAATAAAGGCTGTGACACAAATTGACAAAAGTGGGATCATTCTGTGACTGCTTTCTGAACACAGTCCCAGCACTGTTTTAAACTTAGTTCACCAAACACAACCAGCATGTTTTTAATCTTAGGCAAAAATTAACTGCACTCAGGGGAATATAGCCTCTTGAGTTAAAAGCTGCATTTTACTGTAGAGGTGAGCACGTAGGCCACAGACTTTAGAACAGTAAAACTGAAAGCAGACTATTTACATGATCAAGGAATGACTATAAATATCAAAGGTATGAAGAAAGTTCCGATAAAATGAAAACATAATTATTCAAATGTTAACAGAACTCAAATATCAGAATATGCTAAGGTAAAATTAAAACGAATGCTTACAGTACTCAATATCTCATACTTAATTAGCTTTAAGAACTAATAAATATAGGTCTTTGAAACAGTCATTGAAAATTAAAAATTATTAGCCCAGTGTCCCCCTGCAAAAGGCTGGAGTAACTAAACATCTCTCTCTTTTTCAATCCTCTCTCAAAAGGTTAGAACCCAATTCTTGTTTGGAAAAGCAGAGATATTAAGTCTCCACGGGCTAAATGCAACAAAATCACCAAACAGGTGCACAAAAGAAACCCTGTCAAGATGATAAAGATTTGGGCCAAATTATCTAAGTGCCTTACAAAGAGCATTTAAAGTTTCAGTCATCAGACACTGCATCTGAAAAATGTTTGTTTATTTTTTAAAGCAGTTATCTCTCTTTGTTATGAGCAATATGACTGGAGAGTCTGATTAGTGATACCCTATAGCTTTTATATTATTAGTTTTGCAACTTGTAACAGAGTAAATAAGTTTTATAAACTGAGAAATGTAGGCCTTTATGATTTGACAGTGTCCCTTAAAAAAAAACACACACTTTCAAGAAGCAATTTTATTTCTTTTCAATGTCCATATTTTTAACCAAGCTATAATTGCAGGTGCATTTTATACTTACCATCATTCATCATCCCTTTTGATTCTTTAAATGCTAAGAATTAGTAACAAGCCAAGCAGTTAGTAAGATTCCACAATTAGAAATCATTTCTAGACAAACAAATATGCAGTAATAGCATGCCAAGTTAATTTTAAGATTACCATTTGATTACAAAAGCCTCCCTAGGGGTCACACCCAGAGGCTCCACAAAGGACACCAAATCATTGGGAACAGAGACCTAGGTCTGGGGAGAAGCGAGATACTTCGGTCTCACTCCATGATGACAGCCTGTATCTGCCTTAAATTTATGATTAACAATGGAAACGAACTGAGATCCTTCACTACTGGGGGTGTTACATTTCATCTTGGCCAATTAAAAAGGCAAGAGAGTCCTCCCACCCAAAATCACGTGGCTCGAGAGACACAGAACAGGGCATTTTTCTCTTAGAGGAGACAGCACTGCAAAAGCAATACTCTTAATTCTTGATGGATAATCAAGAAAAGAGCGGTTAGGCAATTTAAAAAAAAGGCAAACACCTAGATTCTTCTCAAGGCACAGAGAACACTCTAACTGCTTTGGGGGCTAATTCAATTTATGATGATCTGGTAATAGATCAAGAAAACACATAAATTTGTAATAACCACATACCATTAAGAGGTTCCTCTACAGCTTTCTGGAAAATATTTAAAATATGTTTACATAAAATAGAATTTACTTCATGTTCTTTCATACTATAATTTATATATGCTAACATTTAAACTGTATATAAACAGTGAATCCTACAGCCAAAAGACAAAGTAAAGCAATGAAGGTTAGGAAGACAAAGCTTGCCAAGTTTAGCTAATAGTCTGATAATAACACAATCATTCTCTTAATACTTTCCGTGCAGAACTTCCCAGCCCACCCTACCTCTCTCTGTTCAAGAAATCCTAACTAAAAAAAAAAAAAAAAAAAGAAATCCTAACTACAGCAACACCAACACAGATAGCAACATAATAAACAATACAATTAAGCCAGAGAGGAGAGCAATCATTTTCAAGTCATGCAAATAGAACTTGGTCACAGGAGAGACAAGTGTTAGGATTGAAGGGTCTAATGGCCACATTATCTTTAACAGAGGCACTTTGAACACTTCGAGCTGTTTGGGACCTGTGTAGCTGTGGTACCAATCTTTTCAGAGTGAACACGTGGGATGAGGCGCACCCCTACTCCCCTCGCCTCTCCGGAATGTCTGTGGAGGCTTATCAGCTTTACGGGCATGTTTAGTCACCCCTTCCCGCCACAGACAGGACAGTCTTGCTTTTGGCATCTCAGACAGAGCTATTACTAACCCTTAATCCTTTTTAGAAAGATGGATACAATGTAGTCCTTTCCAGATCTTATCTCCATAAAGCAGCACCTGTCCCTGTCACCATGATGAAAAAATGGCTTTTTCCATCCCCCACCATTTATCCCTTCAGTGTACCTCCTAAATTGCTCCTTTTCTTGGAAATTTCTCAGGTAGCTTATGATACAGAAAAACTACAGTGCAATTTGGAGGAAGAATAATGCTTATAAAATGGGGGTAAAAGGGAAATGAATCAATTCAGAACAGCTATTTTTTGGCCACATTTCCATTTATTTTATAGATTATTGTTTTAATGAAATCAATTTAATACGAGCTTCTCTCCCTCATTTTTAAGCCTGAAATATCATTCTGTATGTGCACTTCAAATGTGTACAACAGGTGAGGCGATATGTTGGAACTGGATTCTTTCAGCAGATAATGACCATTATTCATACACACAAACTTTCCAGTTCTGGGCATGAGAAAACAGCACAGTCTTAAGGAATCATTTATTCTAACCCATTGCTAGTAAATGACCAGGTTTTAAACTAGATTGGATCTATCCATGCAAAGGTCACAAAGTGACTTTGTACGTGTGTGCTAAGTCGCTTCGGTCGTGTCCGACTACTTGCGACCCTGAGGACTGTAGCCCGCAGGCTCCTCCGTCCATGGGATTCTCCAGGCAAGAATGCTGGAGTGGCTTGTCATGCCCTCTTCCAGGGGACCTTCCTGACCCAGGGATCAAACCCGCGTCTCTTATGTCTCCTTCACTGGCAGGTGGGTTCTTTACCAACAGCGCCCCCTGAGAAACCCTGAGATAACTCCAGTGTTCTCTTAATTTGATGTCATGGTGACGGGCGAGCCATGGAGTTCAACGTCTCAATTACCATTCCTCAGACTAAACCATCAAGTACCACACCCAATTCATTTAAGAAATTTTAACTTACCTTAGGAGGTTGTATAGTCCTATGATTGGAAGCTGATGACATTAAAAAATAAGAAGATTAATTTAATAAGTGAGAGAAATTAAGGCAATATTATGTTTAATTTTAAGATAAAACAGTCAGGGCTAAAACTAAACGTGTCAAAAACTCCAATGAAAGAGTTTGGCTTTGATAGACTAAGGGCAGAACACTCTTAATCATATGCACTGACAGAAAAAAACGATGCAAATAACCCACCCCAATCAAATAGTAAACACATACACACTCTCACTTGTACATGCCACAGGTCCCTCGAGATCAGTCACTTGTTACAGTTCGTGGTGGAAAACCAGTCATCTACTCACCCCCTCCGGAGGCTTTGCACCCTCCCTACGCAACCCAGCTGGAACGGGGAACTGCCCACCCTCAGCTCACTGCTGTTGCTCCTGCAGCCTGTCCCCTTTTTTCTTCTTCCATCTTTCCAGTTTTCAAAGCTCCAGCTAGCTCACAAACTAAGGAAAATATCAGAGTCCTCTGAGTTTAGAGACTTATTTGAGGCCAGCTAGTTTTAGCTACAGTCAAGCCCTTCTCTGTCTGTATTCCTTCTTAGCTTTTCAGGTCACCCTTCACCGCCTCTCAGTGGCTTGGTTAATGAAGATGAAGAAATAAGGGCATGAAGAAAGTGACAAGAGAATGGGTCTCACTGCAAGGGGAAGAAGAGAAACGTTCCTTATAAAAACCAAGTGAGAAGGCCCAGGAGCAGCTAAAACTGGTCTTAAATACAGAATTAGAGTCCTACAGACACAAAAGCATCAAGGGGCAACACCCTGTGGGTCATTCTGGAGGAAGAGGATGCTACTGGATGGTCCATTCCACTGATCTCTGGACTGGATGATGGCACTGGATTTACTTATGAGCAGACTGAGGCAGGCCCCTAGAATGGCTCTGGTCTTCTGTGCTTCTCTATGCCTCCTCTACCAAGCTTCCAAAGCTGATGGGAAGTGGGGGTGAGGCCTGAGCCAAGGGAAGCCCACCTACAGACAAGTCAGAAGCTTGGTTAAGACTTGCTCCAAAAGGGGAAAAGGGCAACTGACTGGCCTGCAAAGCTTCTTTCCCACTGGAACTTGGAGAGGAGAAGAAAGAAGATGAGAAAGCTGGTGAAGGGCAAGAAAGGTGAAAAGAAGATGGAACGTAAGCAAGGAGAAACTCAAAGCTTAGAGCCAAAGGTAAGAAAACAGACCAGTGAGAAGACATGAATAGGCTCAAAAAAACAAAACCAAAATGTTAAGGAGAGGATGAGCTATCTGGCTAGCAGGTAAAGAACCGAAGGGAGGGAACGTAAGTACACTGACAAGGGCATCTGCTAACTCTTGCTACTGAGAGGGCCAGCCATGACTCATGGACTTCAGAGATGTGCTGGATTCTTCCAATTCCTAAACCGCGGAGTTGTTCCACTCTCTGTGAGGATCAGTTATGTATCTGTTTTCACGAGATTCCGATCTCCCTTAGTGCCATGTGTGGTTTTAAAGTAAATCTCTTTTACTGGAGGCATTTGAAAGTGGTTTGGTCCTTGAGACCAAACAAGAAGAGATCTCTTTTTAAAGTATTATGGAATAAAATGTGTTGGGAATATGGGTAATTACAATTAGCAACCCCTGAAACAAACCAAGCAGAATTATAGAACTTTATTTGGGACAATCATGGTAGTTAAATGTATATACAACTTACTTCAACTAAACCATGCCCCGTGTCTATGTTCTATCAAGGAAAAGAGAACTTAACAACCATGTAATGTAAAGGGTCAGAAGTAAGATTTCAAAGGTATATTTTTGAGCTCATAAATTGTTAGAATTAGTATTAAGAACTGCCAAGCCACTCTCTTAATATCTTAAAAAAGTGGGAAGAAGTTTCTGAGTTCTAATTCTCAGGTCCAAGGAGCATCACATTTGGCTAGCCCATTCTGAAACAAAGAGCTCTATAAAGAACATTGATTCAAAGGGCAGCAGTCAGCTGTGATCCCTCTAATATAAGACCAAACAACGCAGAAGTGAATTTCGCTTGAGTTAATCCTCTCTAATAGGCATATGACCTGTGTGACTAAAGAATGATTGTGATTTGTCCGCTGTTGCTATGGGCCTAAGGCATGACAGCCATGTATGTATGTATATATGTGAGTGTGTGTGTGTATAAATCACAAGCCTTAAGCATCTCACGCAAGCTCACTTGCAACGCTTCTCCTCTATCAAAAACACTCGACACAAGAAGTAAATGTGTTTCCAGGTTTTGGATTTTCAGGAGCAACTTTATCTTTTGATACCAGATTCACCTCTCATCAATGATGGGCAAGCAAATGTCACTGAATTTTACATGTCTATTCTGTGTCTTTCTAAAATATGTGAGATGTGGTCGATATGGTTCCTGACTGCTAGGAGGTTGATTTGTATCAAAGCATGACTATATTCCCTGATACAGAACTAAACAGTAATGGCTTAAGAAAATTAACAAGTAATGACCCTTATTAAGAAGAATGAACATAAGAACCCTACATAGGTAATACACCCAACTTCACTGAGTTTAGTTAGTTCTTTTTAATCTTCTATATTTTCTCATATTGTTATTGCTCTCAACCCTTATTTCATTTTATGAAACAAATGTTTCAGTGCAAACTCCAACACAGTTAAAAAATAACATAGAAAATGAAATTTAAAGTCCTAAAGTAATATTTAAGGCTACAAATTTAAGCTGGAAAATAATGAAAGTTAAATCTCTCACAGGGACATAAAGAGCTTGGATTTAAAAGTCAAGACACATTCTTTAGACTTTTCCAAAATAGAGCATCAACAACAAGTAAAAGTTACACTGAAAGCATTTACAATTTTTACTTCCTGATACAAATGCTCAAATTTGCAACCTTAAATGTTATATAAACTCATATTTACATATTCAGTTATATATGAAAAACACATCAACTTTTCTAGTCTACCACATTATCTAAAGAGCTACTTTCCTGTACCTTTTCTCTTCTTGACCTTCAACTGACCAAAGGCATTTCTCTGAACTGTGGTATCAGACAAGTTGATTTGAAAAGTTAATTTAGAAAAGTCTCAAAATGTAAATAAAACCTAACTTAATTCTTCACTTACATATACTTACAAAACTACCCTAAAGAAAAAAACAGTTTGAGGAACTTCCTAGGAATTCAGTTTCACTTTGAACTTAATGTGAGAATAATACGTTTGTAATGATAATGGGTTCACAGGCTTCTCAGGGGTGTGGTGTGGAAAAGGGGAGAGAGCAGCTAGAAGATGCGTATTTCCATTGAGTCAGCATCTCCAGACCTGCTGGTCGCCAGACAGGGAAGGCAAGGAGGAGCATGGAATAAAAGGGAGAGAAATCCAGATAATGAGGGGAAAAAAAGAACAGAGAGCTGACCACCAGTCAAAGACACCTAATACTAGGTCAGCTGCATGGGCACTGCAGGTCACATACTGTTCTTGAGTATTAATAGGGAGCAACATCATTAGCAGAGTCATCTTCAAGAACCAGACAAATGGTGATTAAAAGACTCAACATAAATAGAATCTGTATCAACATTCATAATGTGATGCTCATGATGGCTACCAAATGGATGCCATTCTGCTGTAGAAGTCTTGTGTTTTACGGTTTGAACTAAGAAAATGGCATTAAGGAAACAACTCTGACTTACGAATACATAAAGATAGGGAAATTTTAGTTAAGTATTTTAACTGTTTAATAAGCATTAATTAAAGGGGGGGAAACATATATAACAGAAATGAATTCAGTGACTAGTCAGTGAAAGTTGAAGTTCATAAATAAAGGCAAAATTTCTTTGAAAGTACTATTCAAGTCATGTGGGAAATTATTTGACTATAACAATTCAAATTTATGTTAATTTTTAGAAACATACAGAGTTCACCTAAAGCAAAGCAAAAAAAGTGATGTTTTTGCTCCATTAATTTCTAACTTTTGATTTCTTGACAAATGTTTAAGATTTGCCTTAAAAAACAGAAATCTTTCATTTAAAGCAAAAAGTGAAAGTGAAGTCGCTCAGTCATGTCTGACTCTTTGCGACCCCATGGACTGTAGCCTGCACCAGGCTTCTCCATCCATGGGATTTTCCAGGCAAGAGTACTGGAGTGGGTTGCCACTTCCTTCTCCAGGGAATCTTCCTGACTCAGGGATCGAACCCAGGTCTTCTACCTTGCAGGCAGAAGCTTTGCTCTCTGACCCACCAGGGAAGCTTAAAGGGAGACTAATATAAACCAGGGACTTCCCTAGTGGCCCAGTGATAAAGGACCCGCCTGCCAATGCAGGAGACACAGGTTCGATCCCTGGGTCAGGAAGAGCCCCTGGAAAAGGAAATGAAAACCCACTCCAATATTCTTGCCTGGAGAATGCCCATGGATAGAAGAACCTGGAGGGCTGCGGTCCACAAGGTCACAAAGAGTTGGACACAACCGAATGACTAAGCACAAGACATAGCACAAATGATTTCAAATTAACTATTTAAAAAATACAGCGGCATTTGCTGTGTTTTCTCATTTTAGGAATTACTCATGCATTTCTTTGGTCCTAGACAGTAAGAATCAACCAGAAGCATTATCCAGACTAGATATTGGAAATTCCCGGCATAGGCTAACAAAAATAAGGCTGACTTACCAACACATTTCATATAAACTAATCCAAGTAATTCTGCTAGAGCTATAATACCCAAACCTGAAATCAGAAGAGGACCATGCACTGGGACACATTCTGTAAAAACAAATGAAGTTCTATATTAGAAATTCATACGAAATAATTGATTTTTTAAAAGAACTAGCAATGACAGTAATAATATTGAGTTTTAAGAAGTTAATCTTTTATTAAGAAACAAAAATTATCTACATTTGTTCATCACTATTAAGTCAGTCAATGAAATGACTTCAAATTATTAAAAGAAAAAATCCTTTGTCTGTATAATATGTACCTTATCACATCAAGACTAATGGGAAATAGTGTGTAAAGCCTAAGGCCCCAACCCACTGGATGGAGCCTAGTTATTTGAAAAGTTCTTTCACAGATAGAGGCAGAGCAGTCTGGCTGCTGAAAGAATCGACCCACAAGCCATACACAGACAGTAGACTCATGGAGATGTGGAAAGTCGTGTGCAGGGAGCACACGACATTAAACGCTGGCAAGGATGTGGAGCCACAGGAGCTTTCATCCATTGCTGGTGGTAATGCAAAATGGTATAGCCAGCTTCGAAGACAGTGTGGCAGTTTGCTGAAAAACTAAATATGTTCTTAACATACAACCCAACAACGGCACTCCACCGGAGTTGAAACTTAAGTCCACACAAAGACCTGTGCGTGGATGTTTAGAGCAACTTTATTCTTAATTGCCCCAAACTGGACGCAACCAAGATGTCCTTCAGTAAGTGAATGGATAAACAAACTGTAGTATGCAATATAATGGATTGTTATTCAGTGCTGAAAAGAAATGAGCTATCAAACCACAAAAGGACAGAGAAATCTTAAATGAATATTACTAAGTAAAAGAAGCTAACTTGAAAAGACAACATACTATGGACACATTAAAAACACTGGTGGCTGCTAGGGTAATTTTTAGGGCAGTGAAACTTAACTGAATGATATAACATCTATGACTATGATCCATATCATTACACATATGTCAAAACCACAGCATATACAACACTAAGAATGAGCCCTCATGTAAACTATGCATTTGGGGTGACAAGACACCGGTGTTGGTTCAATGACTATGATGCATTTACCACTCCGGTGGGGGATGTTGATCGTGGAAGAGGTTGCTGTGGGGGTATGTGGGAACTCAGTACTTTCTACTCAAGTTTGCTCTGAACCTGAAGCTACACTAAAAAAATGAAGTCTAAGAATAAAAGAAAAGAAAAAGAAAGAGGACTCCGTCCAAGAGAAAGCCCTACTGAGACAAAGGGAGACCAGGCGGCCGGGACTCTTACCTGAGACACAGAGGCTGAATCCGACCACAGACAGCACATAGCCCAGTATCTGAAGGATCAGTATGCTGATGGTGATGGAGGACATCCCCATAGCTGGGGGAGCAAAAGTGGGGTCAGAGTATTTAAAAAGCAAGCACTCCTACTTGTATTTTGTGCATTCAAGAATAATAGCCTGTGACCAAAGACTACCTCTGGAGTTCCTGTCAGATGGTAAATTCTTTCCCAGTGACCTATCTTCTATGTCTAGATCTGTAAATTTATAACAAATCAATACTTTCCCAATGTATAGCAGGCCAGAGATAGACTCTAAGGCTGAGAGTCACATGGGTAACACATAGAAAAAAACAGATTCTAATATTAACAAAAATGTTAAGTGATTTACTCCTAAAATGCAGTGAAAATGACACCAATTACAGGTTGGATATCTACATGTTAACATTTGCCATAACTAAAAAAAAAGCTACTCTTTCTTATTTATAATTCTATTTTCTAGAACTAGTTAAAACCGGAAATAAAAATACGATGATAATCATTAGGAAATTATATAGCATAACCTTAAAAATACACTGATATCAAATATACATAAAAATAATTTTTTACAAGATAACTGAATGCCTTGAAAACCCAAGCCAACTTTAAAATAATTCCATATGGGTAAAATATCACGAAGAATAGCCTGGGAAATCTTTTAACAAAGCAACTTCTATTGAGTTGTTAAAAAAATCATATAACAATATTTTAACCAAAAATGCTGTTCTTTAAATGAAAAAGGTGGGCAAAATCATTCCATCACAATAAATACTCACCTATCATAAATACACAGTAATGAAGTAATATTAATATTACTGTAGGAAGTACAATTAAACCAAGTCCTGAAGCATTCTTTGTTGAATATTCACCTGTTAATAATTAAACATAATAGTTAATATTTTCCTACAAACCTCCTACTCTTACAAAACATTACTTAATGTATTAAATGTATTAATCTCTACACCACCCTTACAAACTACAAAAGGTTTAAAAATATTTCCCCCAAAACTTCACACAAAATAAATGACTGTTTTCATTATTCTAGACCAAATTTAAGACATGTAAATATCGATTCATAAGTCTGATGATGTCAAATCTTGAGTTGGTTCTGCCTCCTTCTTAACTACTTCTCATTATTCCAATGAGAAACTCTGGGATCTCTTACCATTCCCTTCACTTGCTATGCTCAACCTGTCCCAAAGTCAAAGCAATTGTTCTTTAAGTTGTCTTCTGAATTACTCTCCTTCCTCCCCCTGTCAAATTAGCGCTCAAAATTCTACAAGTCAGGCTTTAACAGTACCTGAACCATGAACTTTCAGATGTTTAAGTTGGATTTAGAAAAGGCAGAGGAACCAGAGATCAAATTGCCAACATCTGTTGGATCACTGAAAAAGCAAGACAGTTCCAGAAAAACATCTACTTCTCCTTCAGTGATTACACCAAAGCCTTTGACTGTGTGAATCACAATAAACTGTGGAAAATTCTTCAAGAAATGGGAACACCAGACCATCTGACCTGGCTCTGGAGAAATCTGTATGTAGATCAAGGAGCAACAGTTAGAACTGGACATGGAACAACAGCCTGGTTCCAAATTGGGAAAAGATTACATCAAGGCTAAATATTGTCATCCTGATTATTCAACTTATAGGCAGAGTTCAGTTCAGTCGCTCAGTCATGTCGGACTCTTTGCAACCTCATGTACCGTAGCATACCAGGCCTCCCTGTCCATCACCAACTCCCGGAGTCCACCCAAACCCATGTCCATTGAGTCGGTGATGCCATCCAACCATCTCATCCTCTGTCGTCCCCTTCTCCTCCTGCCCTCAATCTTTCCCAGCATCAGGGTCTTTTCAAATGAGTCAGCTCTTCACATGAGGTGGCCAAAGTATTGGAGTTTCAGCTTCAACATCAGTCCTTCCAATGAACACCCAGGACTGATCTCCTTTAGGATGGACTGGCTGGATCTCCTTGCAGTCCAAGGGACTCTCAAGAGTCTTCTCCAACACCACAGTTCAAAAGTGTCAATTCCTCGGTGCTCAGCTTTCTTTATAGTCCAACTCTCACATCCATACATAACCACTGGAAAAACCATAGCCTTGACTAGACGGACCTTTGTCAGCAAAGTAACATCTCTGCTCTTTAATATGCTGTCTAGGTTGGTCATAACTTTCCTTCCAAGGAGTAAGCATCTTTTAATTTCATGGCTGCAGTTACCATCTGCAGGGATTTTGGAGCCCAGAAAAATAAAGTTTCTCAGTGTTTCCACTGTTTCCCCATCTATTTCCCATGAAGCGATGGGACTGGATGCCATGATCTTAGTTTTCTGAATGCTGAGTTTTAAGCCAACTTTTTCACTCTCCTTTTTCACTTTCAAGAATCTCTTTAGTTCTTCGCTTCTTGCCATAAGGGTGGTATCATCTGCTCATCTGAGGTGATTGATATTTCTCCCGGCAATCTAGATTCCAGATTGTGCTTCCTCCAGCCCAGCGTTTCTCATGATGGACTCTGCATATAAGTTAAATAAGCAGGGTGACAATATACAGCCTTGATGTACTCCATTTCCTATTTGGAAACAGTCTGTTGGGCCATGTCCAGTTCTAACTGTTGCTTCTTGACCTGCATACAGGTTTCTCAAGAGGCAGGTCTGGTTGTCTGGTATTCCCATCTCTTGAAGAATTTTCCACAGTTTACTGTGATCCACACAGTCAAAGGCTTTGGCATTGTCAATAAAACAGAAATAGATGTTTTTCTGGAACTCTCTTGCTATTTTGATGATCCAGCAGATGTTGGCAATTTGATCTCTGGTTCCTCTGCCTTTTCTAAAACCAGCTTGAACATCTGGAAGTTCACGGTTCACGTGTTGCTGAAGCCTGGCTTGGGGAATTTTGAGCATTACTTTACTAGGGTGTGAGATGAGTGCAATTGTGCCATAGTTTGAGCATTCTTTGGCATTGCCTTTCTTTGGGACTAGAATGAAAACTGACCTTTTCCAGTCCTGTGGCCACTGCTGAGTTTTCTAGTCTTTACTACCGTCCCCTGTCTTTTCTAACTCCAAATGCAAACAGAGCTACCAAATTGATATTCCTAAACATTATGCCTATACTGTATTCTGCTCAAAAAACAAGGCTTCCTCCAGTTTGCACTTGTGAGTCCCAGCATGTCTCTACTGCTCATTCACGTGCTGCAGACCCTTCCCCCCAACTCACACTGCCGTCCTTCATGGGCAACTGCAAACTCAGACCCATCTGGGTCCCAACATTCATTCCTCCTTCCAAGTCGTGGCTAATGAAGTGGGTCTCTGCAGCGGCCTGATGGCTGCTCTAAAGGCATGTCCACCTCCCAGATACCCCACTCTGTGACTATGAACTTATACAGTAAAATACACGATGAAGTTAAGGGTCTGAGAGAAGGGCTGTCTCCTGGATTTCGCAGGTGGGCCCTGAATCCAGTGACAGGTAGCTTTGTAACAGAGAAGCGCAGGAAGCTAAGTGGAGACAGAGGGGAGGAAACCGCGTGACCACGCAGGACGCTGGGAGCTTCGCCACCACAAGCCAGAGAGACACACAGACGGCCAGCAAACAGCAGCAGCTACGAGAGCATGGAGTGGATTCTCCCCTAGAGTGTCGGGAGGGTGTAAGGCCCTGGTCACACCTTCATTTCAGATTTATGACCTCAGAACGGTGAGAGAACTTCTACGGTCTGAAGATACCCAGTATGTGGCAGCTTGTTAACCACAGCCCTAGGAAACTAACATGCCCCTCTCCAGAAATGTCCTCAAGCTTACCAATCCCTGCTTCCCTCACAGTGACTGTGCATCTTACCTGGGATTAAAAGAAAGGCGCCAACAGTGACGAGGACGGTGAGCAGCAGCCCAGCAACTAACAGAAAAATGGCTTTCTCCTTCGTGTAATTGGATTTATATTTAAGTGCTTAAAAGAAAAACACAAAGAATTACATGAACTCAATCACAAGAAATAAAGCCATTTATGTAACTGACAAGGTGCAAAGATTAAACTGGTAACTTACTATGACTGAATAACCTTTGAATAACAAAACTCCACATCATGTCAAGCCACCTCAAATCTCTTTCATAACGAGTCAACGGTTAAATGGTATCATGGCAATATAAATATGGACGCTGACTTTATAGGTGATACTTTATTCCCCTAAGATGAAGTTATATATACACCAGGCTTTCTCAATCATAGCATTATTAATATTTTAGGTCAGTAAGTTGCTGCCGTTAGGCACTGCTCCACACACAACAGAATGTTTAGGACCATCCCTCACCTCTGCACACCTCATACCAGTAATAACCCCCAAACTGTGTCAATTAAGTATATCTCCAGACATTGTTCCCTGAGGAACAGAACTGCTGTGTCCATTTATGACTAATAGACACACTGCTGAGGAGAAATAACTGGCTAATCAGTTTTATTGAGAAAAAGAGAAATTTGTAATACCTTATATAAAATTAGTAGAACATCCAGAAATCCAGATATTTTGTTTTGAAAAAGTATACATTGGACAAATCACACCTTCTTGAAATCCTGAGGTGGGGGTAAGTGCTTACATTGTTCAATTAAAATAATTTCATAAAAATAAACTTTGTATGAAAAGTTTTATTTATTCAAACTTTGTATGAAAAGTTTTATTTATTAAAACTCCACAGGTTTTAATATATATGTTACACTTCTGATGCTAACTCTGTGGTCAAGAATCCAGCTTCCGTTAAAGAATGATGTAATGCATAAACCTAAAAATGTTATTTTTTTAATCATGTATTTACCCTTCCAGTTTTGTTTTGGTTAAAATTAATGTTTTACCAAGAAAGTTGCTAAAATATACACTGACTATCAGAAAGAAAGAGTATGTGATTGAAATTCAGCTATTTCATCCATGCATGATTCTCTCCATGTTATTTACCAACGGGCAGTTGTCTTGAGGAGAATTTTTTCAATAATTTTATATTTAGCTTTTCATTTTCATCTAGTAAAATGACAGATAAATTACAGTAAGAACAACTAATAAACTCCAATATGAACATGATAAAATCTATGTTTAAGGTATTATAACCTAGAAGTAGACTATAACCTATAGCTAAGCATTTAAAAGGTATTTAAAATCTCTACTCATACTTTAGACTGTAACCTCAACTTCATCCTCTTTAGGGGGATGGAGGGCTAACCATAATTAATCCTGAAGCTGAAAAGTGAAATTCACATTAATCAGAAAAAAGTAAGAAACGATAAGCTTGCCAAGCCTTCATTCAATCTATCCAGCCTTGGAACGTATGTGACTATGACTCAGTCATGTCCCTGCCTTCTTATAAGGCACAGATTTTTCCCTATAAGCCTACTTTCTAGTGTCAAACCCTGGCTATGATGATAAAAATTCAGTGCATATGTTACAAAAGGCACAGATAAAGACAGAATAAGAAATCTTCTCTTTTTGAATTTTTTTTCAAAATTTACTTTCAATTGGAGGATAAATGCTTTACAATATTGGACATACGGCAGGGTTTTCATTTTAATCCCGTGCATGTGTGCTCAGTCACTCGGTTGTGTCTAGTTCTCTGCGGCCCCACAGTCTATAGCCTGCGAGGCTCCTCTGTCCACAGGGTTTCCCAGGCAAGAATACTGGAGTGGGTTGCCATGCCCTCCTCCAGGTGATCTTCCCAACCCAGGGATCAAACCCACGTCTCCTGTATCGGCAGGCAGATTCTTTACCACTGTGCCACCTGGGAAGTCCCAATCCCATGTATACTATTAACTAAAAAGAGCTTGAAATTTCTGCAAAAGGCTTCTAAAATAGAAGCTGTTTCAGATTACCTCACAATCAAATATTCATAAGATACACTCCTAGGTTTAACTAGGCACATAAAAGAGCTACAAAGATCAAGCAACCAGACTTCACCCTAGAGTCCAGTATGTGAGAGCTGCTCAGGTGTGTCTGCTCTTTGAGACCCCATGGAATTCAAAAGGCCAGAATACTGGAGTGGGTAGCCTTTCCCTTCTCTAGAGGATCTCCCCAACCCAGGGATCGAACCCAGGTCTCTGGCATTGCAGGTGGATTCTTTACCAGCTGAGCCACAAAGGAAGCCCAGAGTCCAGTATAAGTACATGCAAAATGGCTGATTTATACCATTCTTAAGAAAAATAAGTTTGAACCTCGTATAAAATTCAATCTCTTCAGGCTTAGCAGAGCTACAGGAGAAAAATAATGCCAACAATAGAAACAAAAATAAAATGCCACAAAATGCTACTACTGACAGTGTTTTACCATAGAAAGGTCTTTTTAAAACCTTTTGGATGTAGCTTTCATTCCTGCTGATTGGTTCAACTACTGGCTTTCAAGGCTACCTAAACTATCCTCAAATTTAAGCAGCAATTTTCAATAAATATTATTAGTGGAGTCTACTTAAGTAATCACAGGCAATGAAAGATTATGTCCATGTTTTCTTTAGTAAACCTTAGAAAGGGTTTCTTTTGACTCATTTTCTTTGCTTACGATGGCCACGTTTTAGCAGGCCCCAAGGCAAGTCTGTAGGGTATCTTCTCGTTAGGCTCTGTTGTTTTATAGTTGGAATCACATGGCATGCAGCCTTCTCAGATTGACTTCTTTCACTTAGGGATATGCATTTAAGGTTCTTTCATATCTTTTAATGATTGACAGCTCATTTGTTTTCAATGCTGAATAATATTCCATGGTCTGGATGTACCACAGTTTATCCATTCTCCTATTGAAGAATATCTAGGTTGCTTCCAAATTTTGGCAATGATGAACAAAGCTGCTATAAACATCCATGTGTAGGTTTCTGTGTGGACTTCAGTTTTCAACTCCATCTGGGTAAATACCAAGGAGTAGGGCTTCCCTGGTCACTCAGTGGTAAAGAATTCACCTGCAATGCAGGAAATGAGGGTTTGGTCCCTGGGTTGGGAAGATCCCCTTGAGAAGGAAATGGCAACCCACTTCCAGCATTCCTGCTTGGGAAATCTCACGGACAGAGGAGCCTGGTGGGCTAAAGTCCATGCGGTTGCAAAAGAGTCGGACACAACTTAGCAACTAAACAACTATTACTGGATCATATGATAAGAGTACATTTAGCTTTATATGAAACCACCAAACTGTATTCCAAAGGAGCTGTACCATTTTGCATTCCCACCAGCAATGAATGAAGAGTTCTTCTTGCTCCATGCTCTGACTAACATTTGGTGTGGTCAAAACTTATGTTTTTAAGAAAAACCTATAAATGTAGTGCTGACTGACACAGGAATACCAAATACACAGGGAGACAATGTCAAGTTTTTTTCAACAAATTAGGAATTCCAAGTTCCCCTTTTGTACCTTCTATAAAGTAATGAAATCTAGCCACCTACTTCTCAGAGATGAGATGGGTAGTTCATTCATTTGTCTTATCTTAACTGTGTGCCTACCATGTACTGGACCTGTTTATTAGCCCAAGTCATATCAACCAAATCGAGGCACAAGTAGAAGTTACTTTACTCAATAATAATAATTGATCACGCACCTACTATGTGACAATCACTATTCTAAGTGCTGGCAGTGAACCAATAATTCTGCCTCAATGCTACTTATATTCTAATGTATGAATGAGTGTGTGTGTGTTGCTGGTGGGGAATGAGTGACGGGAAGTGTTACCCCCAGATATTCTCCTCCAGTTAAGTAAACGATGTGGGTCTAGCCTAAGCAAGCCCTATGGCATATTTAAGCTTTCAAATTCAGGTAAACAGAGAAATGACATGTCCCTCTAGCCACCTGAAGAAACGTGGCTAGTACTGTTGATAGATACTCCATTAAGGCTTTTTTGTGTCTTTATCACTGATGTAAGGACATATACAACAATGCAGGCTGTGGCTGAAGTCTTGTGAAATTACCAGGTTCAACCTGGAGATCAAATAAAACCATCATCTTAGTTTTCATGACATCCCAAAAAGGGGATTCAATAAGCCCATATAGATCCACCACAGGTCGAAGTCCAGCTAACAAAACCCCAAAATTCATTAATTCAATGCCTGTTCTAGCTGCATGACAATTAAATGATCCACTTACTAATTAAGTCATTAGTAAGTTTAGTGGTGAGATAGGAAGGTTAACCAGTGAGGTAAACAACACATCAAATAAAGAATAAATCATGAAGGGAAGACATACACTTGATTTTATTATTACAGTGCTATCTTCTGATAACTCTCAGAAAGTAATTTTAGGGTGTTTTTGGTATCAGTTGAACTGCACAATGGTACTCTCTCTTATGAAGGATAAAACACATCTGGTAAGTTTTTAAAAAAGATTACAACTTCAAAATTTTTATTTAATTATATTAAAATTACTATTTTTAAAGTATTTAACACATTAAAAAAAGAAGGCTTTGTGAAACTGGTACTAGATGAAAATGAATAATAATGCCAATAACAAACTGATTACTTGCCAGAAGGCGAGTAAAATAATTTTATAATGAATGCCATGCACTATCCAACTTTCTTTGATGAAACAATTTTGTCAAAATGAAGACTGATGAGAAATCACATTCCTACAGGACAGAGAAATAAAAGAGCCCAAGTTTCATGAAGTCTGGGCTTTGAAGTACTTTGAATACAAAAGATAAAAGAAGGCAACGCCTAACATACTAACTTATTTTCCTTGGTTGCAAACATTCCTGGTCTTATGGACCGTGCCACACCTTCAGAATAGATGCAGGAAGGTGGGATGGTTGAATTTGGAAAGAGTCAAAGTAACAGCAACTGTATTTCTACAAAAGAGCATATTGCTAAGCTGTAGGTTTGTTCAGTTCCTTCCTCAATAAAATCAGTATACAAAAACACGTTTTAATAAGCAGAATTTGATAATGATGCGGACAGGACCAGGGAAAAGCAATGGGAGTTCAGGATTCTTTAATAGACCCTTAGCG